CTCCCCTTTGAACTGGAAAATGGCCCACTTCCCACTGGCGAAAACTCATGAAATTTGGCAGGACGACCGGGCCTGGTGAAAAATTCGATATTCTGAAGTCGCCCAAACAATAAAATGCAAAATGGCTCCATAGCGCCCCCAAAGGTGAAAATTCACACCATTGACTGTCACGCCTGTACGCTTTGTCATATTGACACAAAAATTGACACACACATGTATCTCAATAAGATCTACAAAAAAGTCAGTGCGGGCGTATCTGTCAAATGTACGGTTAAAGAGTTATTTCGCATTTTTTGCAGATCCGCACACATTGGAATTTCGCTAACTCCTCCGAAGGCTTTCGTTCCACCGCCACCACATTTGCTCAGGCCAATCTACACCCCATGGCCATTAAAAGTTGTACAAATCATGACGCTGCACCCTACGGTTTAGGTTCTAGGGGGCGCCAAAGATAACCCAAAAATCCACATATTTAAAAGTCTTATAACTTTTTATTTTTGTCCTCACTGGCCTCCAAGTTTTCTAGGATGATGCAATGTCCAGCCATCAACACATTTGTGAAGGAATTTTTACTCGCCAAAAGAGCGCCCCCCCCCATGGCAGGAGAAAAAAGTCCATTTTTTCTTGTCCCCTAAGGCGAAAATACACATTGTTGAATGTCACGCCTGTACGCTTTGTCATATTGACACAAAATTTCACAATCACGTGTATCTCAATAAGATCTACGAAAAAGTCAATGCGCGCGTATCTGTAAAATGTACGGTTAAAGGGCTATTTCGCATTTTTTGCCGATTCGCACACATTGGAATGTGGCTAACTCCTCCTAAGGCTTTCGTCCCACTGACACCAAATTTGCTCAGGCCAATCTACACCCCATGGCCATTCAAAGTTGTAAAAATCATGACGCTGCACCCCATGGTCTTTGTTCTAGGGGGCGCCAAAGAGGACCCAAATATCCACATTTTTAAAAGTCTTTTTGGCCACTGCAGGAGTACAGAGTACTGCAGGATACACACACGCACACACACAGACACACACACACACGCACACACACACACACACACACACACACACTCAGAGTCTGTTTTTTAGCACCTGCAAAAACATGCTATTTACATATTTGACAAGAATGCAGAGGCTTCCTTTTGCCCTTGAAAAAAATCAAATTTCAAACACAACTTGACTGCTCATTTCTCCAAAAGACAACCATGAAGCTCCATCCAAACCTGAAGCAGGCAGTTGGTGCATGTGTACAGTAACCTGAGGGGAGTGAGGTGACTGCTTCTGAGGAGAACATGAGCAGTGAAGATTCACCTTGGAGCTAGAACAGGGACGTGCACATGATTATACAGGGGCAGGTGCTCAAGTTTTTTCCAGTCGTTTATACAATATGGAAATAAATGTGAAATTAAAAAACAAAGTATTAATAGAAAGGTAATGACTGTCCTGTGTAGGTGACAGCGATATCCAATAGGCTAGGCACTCACGAGGCTGGCTGTGGCAAGTGTAAGTGAAAGCAACACACACTGGCAGGAAGAACAGCAAACGCCGATGAAGGAAAAGGGTCTTTGCAGTGATGGGCGTTACCAGAGAGGACGATGGCCAGAGGACGGGGGGGGGGGGGGACAACGGTAAAAGTCTTATAACTTTTTATTTTTGTCCTCACTGGCCTCCAAGTTCTCTAGGATGATGCAGTGTCCAGCAATTAACACATTTGTGAAGGAATTTTTACTCGCCAAAAGAGCGCCCCCCCATGGCAGGAGAAAAAAGTCCATTTTTTCTTGTCCCCTAAGGCGAAAATACACATTGTTGAGTGTCACGCCTGTACGCTTTGTCATATTGACACAAAATTTGACAATCAGGTGTATCTCAATAAGATCTACGAAATAGTCAATGCAGGCGTATCTGTCAAATGTACGGTTAAAGGGCTATTTCGCATTTTTGCCAATTCGCACACATTGGAATGTGGCTAACTCCTCCGAAGGCTTTCGTTCCACCGGCACCAAATTTGCTCAGGCCAATCTACACCCCATGGCCATTCAAAGTTGTAAAAATCATGATGCTGCACCCCATGGTTTACGTTCTAGGGGGCGCCAAAGATAACCCAAAAATCCACATTTTCAAAAGTCTTATAACTTTTTATTTTTGTCCTCACTGGCCTCCAAGTTTTCTAGGATAATGCAATGTTCAGCCATCAACACAATTGTGAAGGAATTTTTTCTCCCCAAAAGAGCGCCCCCCCATGGCCGGAGAAAAAGTCAAGTTGTTCCTGCCCATCGCTCAATGGCTTAAACGCATCGCTCTCTCGGCAAAACCGAAAGGAGGAGCAACTTGCCATTTGGATATATCTTAGCTGTGTTTGTGCCCTCACTCATGTTCCAGACTTTTTTCAAATAGGACATGGAGTTTGTCTGCAGCGAGCGTTTTGGTAGAAACTGCGCCTCCCATTCATTATAATGGTAAATGACCACAGACAAGTGCGCACACCATCTTTGGACCTTGAGTGTGACGCGATCGGGAGGGGTAGGCGGTCGCGCTGGGGGTGGCGCGACACGGCTCGGGCCCGCCAGTGCCCCAACGGGGCCCTAGTTTATTTTTTGTTGTGTTAAAATGTTAATGCTCTAATGAAATGGTGTCACAATTCATTTCAATAAATGAATTGAGAGAACTAATGAAATACCACAAGGATAGGATAGATATAATGCAATTTGATCTGTCTCTATCTCAATCAAAGAATTATACCATGTCTAGCTCCACTCTACAGATATGCATAGGGTACCCCAACAGAGTGGTACCACATAGGTAGAAAGGATTAATCATATGGGCACCTTTACAAACTTTTGAACCAGACCACTTTGTCGAAATGCAGCTTATCTTTTCCTCTTCTCCTTGTGGTGGTTGGTTAGTTGTGTGGACCCAGAAGCAGACACGGAAACAGAGATAAACTTAAAGTGTAATCTAATGTCCAAACAAGGTTGAAAATGCAAAAAGAGGAAGTCTGGTAGGCTGGCTGTCGTGTGAGCTGGAGACACTGCAGGAAAAACCAGAGGAGAAGGAAGTTGGTGAACATGTACAGGATCAAGAGGAGCAAAGTTCTGATACTGATACCAACGAGGTAGGCCAGGCGACACGTCTTTACCACTTGGAGGGGTAGACAATACTCAGGCGCTGAGACTGAGGGCTGCAGGCTTCTTAAAGTGCCTTGATTGGAGATGTGGAGCAGGTGTATCATCTCACTCAGCCTCAGCGCCAGGGGAGGGGAGGAAGCTCTGGAAAAGAGTAAAGCCAGACCAGGCAAACAGGGAAACACAGGAAGTCCAGCAAAAATAAAACAGGATGAGGAGGCGTCGCACCACACTCCTGTCTTAAATAATACTGGTATTTCATGATCTGGGCTATAATTTTGAATGAATGTAGCTTGCTTGAAACTCAAAAGCTAAGTGGAAGCCAATACAGTCTACTCTGAGATGTCAAGTAAGTTACGTGACATTGGCTCATCTTATTTCCCTTTCTCTGTCCTTTCCCTGAGTTGTGGAAGTTTCTTACTGTAAGACTCCTCTGATCTGAGTTCTGCCTCGTGGTGTGGACCCCACAGGAGCCATACTGCTGATAGCTGAGGCCTCTTGTATGTACAAAAACGTCCACACTGCCTTTCTCTTGGCCAGAGCCAGGCCTCAGTTGCCAAAAGCTGAGCAAAGAAAGACATTGTGAATAGAACAATACCATCTATGTGCTGTCTCCCTGCCTGCTCTTCTGTCTCTGATTTGTTTGTTGCTGAGCAGAGTGTTGTTTTTCCCTCTCAACTGTTTCTTGTAGTCTCAAGTGTCATTTGTGCTTGACAAAGTGCACAAACTACTTGATGAATATTTGATTGATTTGGTTTATTCAGATGAATCTTTTGCTTCCCATATCGACCCACTGTTTCCCTGTTCGCTCATGCTCATCAGTATGATTTGCAGCTATTTATTATACCAGTGGAGGCTTGGCTGTCACTTTCTATGGTTTGTTGCTTTTAAGACACACCTCTCTGTAACTAGGGAAATGTCACTGTCATACATCAAACAATTTGTTTGCTTTTGGGTAGTCAATTTTATACTTTCCATCGATTCATTTTCATCCTTCCATGTCTTCCCTCATTTTTGCTTGTCGTAAAGGCCTATGTGTAAGTGGTACCCACATGCATTGCCACTTTAAAGACACTAACACATTTTTACTACCCTTTTTTTTTTTTTTCAATTAATGGTAATTCAAAAGTCAGTCTTTTGCCAATGCCTGTATCTCAATTGCTGGACCATACTAGACATTAAAGAAGACATTCAATGTGCAATGGCTATGCTTTGAAAGTACACAAGCACAAAATAGTCAGTATATTATATTAGATATCTGCTGTGCCTAATATAGGAGGTACAGCAGAAGAACAATAAATGGTTCTTTGGTCAGGGAGCTGTTTGTTTCCTGGTTGTATTTCTAATTTATCCTCAAAGAAGAATGGTAGAAACCTTTTTGCACCTACAGGTGTCAAAACTGAGTCTAGTAACATCTCTTAGTCTTATCAGCTTGTCCAATCAGACATCTGACTCAGCCTACGGTCCAGGGGCCATATTCCTAAAGAATCTGAGAATCCTCTCAGAGAGCTTTTAACTTAACCTAAAAATTCCTGGCAAGGAGTCTCAGCTTAGGAGTGATTCCAGAACATTCTCAGAGAACTCTGAGCAAGGAATGGACAGAAACAAAAAATCTACTTCCGGTGATAATGGGCAAAAGATGAGCCCTCAAATCAATAAAATTAACCATAGAATCGAATGTCATGAAGAGTGAAGAGTGTAAATAATATTTGACATAAAAGAAAATATCTCTTAAATGAATAATAAGCACAACTATCACATAGTGATTAACAAGGGTGAAATGGCTCAGCATTCATCAATGACTCTGATTGCTGAGCAGCCTAGAAGAAGAAGTGTTGGTTTCCCTTCAAGTCTACATCAAACCAGTGAGCAGCCATGGACAAGAAAAGAACTAGGAAACCCAACTGGACAGAGGAGCAGTGTTTGCTTCTGGCTCATTTGGTCAATGAGCACATAACTGTTTTGAGAGGTAAATTTGGCCCCCGTGTCACAGTACAAGCCAAGAAGCAAGCATGGGAAACTATAGCACAACAGGTAAATGCATCATTTCCGCTGGTTGTACGGACAAGTGAGGATTGTGAGAAGCGGTGGTATGTGTTGCAGTCAAAAGCAAAAGAGGAGATTGCAGCACACAAACGTCAATGTTCACGCACAGGTAAGCAATATACCACTTACTTACAACTGCTGGCAAAGTTAATTTAAATACATATTTACTGTGAACAATATATTGGTTACTGAATCTCTTTTCAGGGGGTGGACCACCTGCTAAGCAGCTGTCCCAGGTTGCAGAAACGGTGTTTGATATACTGGGGCAGTCAGAAGTTAGTATCACCGGGCTGAGGGAAGGCATTGACTCTTCAATGATGCAGGTCATTGAAATGCAACAAAGGTAGGACAAATTAGTTTTTATATTTAACCAGGCAGTTCAACAAAATATAAAGGACAGTGATTATTCATTCATTGCATAAGCCATTTCTCACATCTCTTGTGGATCCTCATTCTACTAAATCAATTAAAACAAAACAATAATTAAACTAAATGTATTCCCCTTTCTGTAGCATGGAGCCATCAGAGGAACCGGGCCCCTCAACATCGCAAGTGTACGACCCTCAGCCTGAAACATCAGAGTTCAGCCTGCCTGCTGCTGCTGCTGCTGCTCAAACACCATTTCCGCCCGCTGCACCTGCTGCTCCAACACTATCCCTGCAGAACAGAAGATTGTAGTTGACAATGGATGTCCTCAGACAGCAGAAAAAAGTGTTATGCCTACAGGAGGAGTACTATCGACTGAAAATTGAGCTCCTAAAAAATAAATCCAATGACAAATAGATATTGTGTCTTTGTGAGTAATGTGTCATTTATTTATTTAGCCATTGCATGTGATGTGCAGTAAAACTATGAAGTACATTAATGCAATCACAAGCTTTCAAATTGCATATACTGTAACTTGCCTGAAATGTAAATTTTTAAAATGGGCTCTATAGGGTAGTCCACATTGGGCCAAGTTCCCCTCTGGAAAGTGAATATTTTCTTCACCACCACCATCATCATCACAGTCTTCATCACAATTATCCTCAAGAGGCTCTGCAATCTGTCTAGTCTTGCAAACGTTGTGTAGTATTGCACAGGCTATGATGACTTTGCAGGTGTTTGGAGAATATCTATCCTGCCTCTTCCGTCTGCCATTTTGTTCTCTGCTTGGGAACTCCTAAGCCACTTAAAAGTCCTCTTCCCTGCTCTTAATGGATCTCACCTTAGGAGCGGTTTTAAGAGCTTTAGGAATAGCTTTTATCTTTACTAGGATCTACTCTTCACTTTTAGGGGAAATTCTAAGAAAACTTCATGATTCTAAGAATTTTCTTAGAATTTGGCCACTAGGAGCATTTCTTTGCACTAAGAATCCTAAGGAATACAGGCCCAGAAGTCCAACTAAGACTTTTGATGTCAACACTTAACCAAAAGAAAATATGGAAGTATAAATTTAAGCGTAAATATAGATAGTAGACAGAGGAACAATTAAAAACACAGTTTCTAAGGTGTCAACACTGCCTGTTATTGTCCCTTAGAGTTTGAACTTGAGCTTAAATCATGTTGAACTTGAATATGACAATCACCATCAAGGTCACCAGGATCATTCCAGGATTAGGGGGAATAAAAGCCACAGGAGAGGAAATTGAGTTGGAATATGACAAAAACCGTTAGCAACCTGTGTGTTAAGGTCAGAGACCAGTGTTAACGTTTCATATCTGATGTCATCCCAACATTATACATTTTATCATTAAAGGATATCAAAGGATACAACAAATAGTAGGTAATACAAAGAGTATTTTTACCTATCAAACTTTTTACCAAATGATTTTGAGCTTCTATCAGTTAAGTTCCTGTTCCTTCTAAATTTGCAGTGTGTTTAATGGTGCTGTTGTGGTGAGTGTGATAGAGACACTAAAGCATTAAGGGAAAGAGAGGGGAGTGGGAGAGATATACAAGGGCAGTGAGGACAGTTTTCTGATACTTTGTTTAGTGCTTTTGAGGGAAATGTCAGCCCATAGTTTCAGCCACCTACTGCTGCAGGTCCCTGAGTCCTTCATGTTATGCAATATGATTGGATGATTGAGGGGGACAGCAGCAAGACTGCAGATGGGGATTTTTTTGTCCTAAATGTTGACCCCTTGTTTCATAAAACCTTAAACAAAGGAATAATATATAAAGACATGTGCAGGTTCAGTATTCATATCTTACAAAATTTTACCTGCTTGTTGCTCTTTGATTATTCCAGATTTGAGATTGGAGTCATATCTGATATTGCCAACAATAAACAGATAATGACAGTTACCTGCATAACAACCACAGACCACCATCATAGCTATGAGTATCGAATCATCAAGTCAAGGTGAAGTGATGATGGCTAAGACAACTGAGTTAAATTCAATAATTGCTGACGCCCTCAGTCAATAATCTGGACCAAAATCCAAAGTAAAATTAACTCAGTGAAAAAGGACATTTTTCTGTGCTCTGCCAGGATGTGGACAGACTAATGAGGAATGGCTCTTTAGTTGAAATGTATGAGCCCGAATCCTGCTCATGGGCTTTGTATGAATGCCTCCCTCTGTATTGTATTTTAACTTTTTAGTTTACTGTTTGCAGCTGAGAAATTTTATGTGCCCTTTATCAGTATCTTATGATTAAAAGTGTGTCTGTTAAAATCAGTGCAGTGGTGCTTCATCATATGAGTGATTGTGTTTTGAGTCAGTATGTAGATGGATATGAGAAGATTACCCTGGATGCACTAAAGTACCTCAATGCTGGATTCAAGCGTGAGGGTTGTGTTACAGATCACCAAGACAGATATCCTCCAAGCTCATACATCAATGTCTTTTTTGACACTGGCATAAACCTGCTCCTCTTCAAGTAGAGACTGACACACATGCACACATACTCATTGTTTTCTACCACAGCTCTTGTCAGCATAATCTTTCAGACTCTTTTCAGATTCGGACTCTTTCTCAAGACTCAAAAGGTATACCATTCTGAAAGGGCTGTGTCTAGAACATACACTCTTTCTCTCCAAATAGATGAGAGCACACATCTATGTCTGAGCACCGTTCAGGGATTTAAAAACACATTTGTTTCATGAGGAAGCGTGTTGCAGCTTTCCTCAACCAACAGAACCTGTCCTCACATCCAAACTGGCAAAGGTCTTGATCATCACAGAGTGCGAGCATCACCAAGTGGAAGAGCATAATATTACAGTCAGGCAAATACAGACACATTGGCACCGTGATGAACACTGGCAGGAACACTTAATCCTTGCTATTTTTTATGTAACCATTTTCACAAATATAAACAGGCACCTGTGTCTGCTGCATTTCTAACCAACAAATAGATTAGATTAAGGTACTTAAGGTACTTCTGTAGGTACTCCCTACAATATTTTAAGTCAATTGACCTTGACTCCAGTACAGCAAGGTGTTATCACAAAAATTTGATCTAGCTCCTTAAACACAACACACAATTTTAGAAAGACCTGTAACAACCAGTTTACTGTTTGACTTTCAATGTCAGATTTGCATTAGTAATTAGTAGAAGAAAATAGGATTCAAAATGTAATTTTAATCACTAAAGGCCACGAATATCTCTTATTTTTCATTCACAAGATTTTCATATCACAGCTTTTAATTTGTTTGTTTAAGCAGGAATTTTTTCTTGCTTATTAGATTGTTCAGTGGCTTTATTGACGGAGGGAAAAGAAACATGTACATCATATTTTCTTATTTCATCCCCCTCCTTTATGCTGCAAAGTGTCTTTCTGCATTTAAATAAATAGAGAATTAAAAATAGGTCTGCTTTATTGAATACTGTTCTTAACTTTTTTTTATTAGGGAATGAAATAAAAGAATGAATGAAGCGTGCTGGCCAACTTCAACCTATACAGCCATTTTTTAATGCAAGAATAAAAATGTTTGAAAATGTTGTTTTCACAGTGTAAGTGCCACATGCTGCGAAAAAGGTTTTTTTTTTCCAAAAAGCTGGATAATATTATACCAAATTGCCAATCAGCATTTTTAAATAGACACTAGTCAAAACCAGTATGTGTGAGGACTGCTCATTTTCATGACACTGTCAGGGCACATATGTAACAAAAGTTTTGTGTCTGCTCTCAATTGAGATGAAACTAGCAAACTGAGATACTGGCCCTCATTTATCAAGCTGGCGTACAGCAGAAAACTTGCGTACACCTTGCGTACAGAAATTTTGACGTGAGGATCGGCATTTATCAATCTGCACGTGAGCGTACGCTACGACCAAATCTCAGGACAGGTCTGACATTGTGTACGCAAGTTTGAGTCTGTGTGGATCTGTGGTGCAGCAAATGTCTGTCTCAAAATAATTGATTAACAAACCTCAAACCTGTCATTAAGCACAATCAGCCAAATTTCATTAAAGAGTAAGATGTAAATAAAATAAAATAAATTTGTTATGTCCTTGGTGAAGAGGTCTATTTGATAACTCTGCCCAGAAACACTGCCACAGAGCAGGAGCGCTGTTTTAACATTGCACACACATGCGCCACTGTGGAGCGCTGCGTTTGACTCCTAAAAGGCAGGTGTTCCTATCTTGGCCCAGCAGCGGGGACGTTGTTGAACACTCCTGAAAGGGTGTGGGAAATCATTTGAGCCAGTACAGTTTTGCACAATGTTGCACTGGTGAATGGAGTGCCGTTGGCTGTGCCAGTGCAACGGGAGGACCCGATGCCCGGAGAACAATAATGAGGAGAGACTCCACAAAGGTGCTGTACAGAGGAGACAGGACCTTATCGATGGATTCAGACCATAGACTGAATATACTATGGACAACTTGGTTCCGCCTACCGCCTGTATATGGATTTTAAGCCAAAAAGCTCTCGGTATTTCCGGGATTTTTCTTCATTTCCTGAAACCAGCGCTGCACAGTAACGATGCGCGCATTCGGCCGCGCAGTCGCCGAGAGTCACTGTGATGACGCTCAGCTCAAACAGTGTATCCCTCGGGAGAGCTATGCAATCCCTGAATGCCCATAGGCTGTATCAGTTGTCAATTATAGAAAACATGAACCCCCTAATAACTTTTGAAAACGGAGCCGTACAGAAAAAAGAGGACTTGCGCACAAACCAGTCCTACTGTAACTACATGTCAACATCGCAAGTGTGTGTGTCTGTGTGTGTGTGTGTGTGTGTGGGGGGGGGGGGGGGGGGGGTTATGTTCTGTGTAATATATTTCTAAAGTTTGTCCACAGCCCCATTTATGACGGGATTTATGACCTATACTACTTCTCAGAGTGGCTTCACCCAGAGAGGAGGCAGACTCTGTCCATTTTGTATACAGTCTATGATTCTGACATGTAAAGTAGAAGTTTAGAAAGTGCTCTTGCTATTTAATCAGTGATAAAAATCCAATAGAAATCCATAAAAATGTGCCTCAGGGGCAGCAACACACCGTTTGGTGACGTTAATAATTATTTTTGTACAGCCTCTGTCAGACTCTCCAGTCTGCTCTACATTACAAAAACGCAATGAATTAAAATTAAATACTTTCAATAATAGGAGCAACGTACCCTGTCATGGCAATAGTCAAGTCAAGTCAAGTTTATTTGTATAGCACATTTCAGCAGCAGGGCAATTCAAGGTGCTTTACATGAAACAGGCAGGCAAAACATTCAACACAATTTGAAAAGTAAAAACAGTGTAA